ACCCACAGTACCAGAGCCTCCAGCTCCAGTACCTCCAGCACCAGTCCCTCCAGCAGCTCCAGCACCTCGAGCTCCAGCACCTCGAGCTCCAGCACCTCAAGCACCAGCAGCTCCAGTACCTCCAGCACCTCCAACTCCAGCACCTCCAGTACCTCCAGCTCCAGCACCTCCAGTACTAGCAGCTCCAGTACCTCCAGTACCAGTAGCTCCAGTACCTTTAGTACCTCCAGCTCCAGCACCTCCAGTACCAGCAGCTCCAGTACCTCCAGCACCTCCAGCTCCAGCACCTCCAGTACCTCCAGCAGCACCTCCAGCACCAGCTGCTCCAGTACCTCCAGCACCAGCAGCTCCAGTACCTCCAGCACCTCCTGCTCCAGTATCCCAACCAGAGTGGCCTCGCCGAATAACCCACTCGCGAAGCTGGTGCGGCGAGAGAGTCTCCCGTCGACGAGACTGCTGCTGCTGTCCAACGCCAGAACCTCCAGTAGTAGCACCTACGACTCCACCACCACTAGGACGCGCAGCACCCCCAGAAGCAGCACCCCCAGAAGCAGCACCCCTAGAAGCAGCACCCCCAGACTTAGCACCCCCAGAACCAGTACCTCCAGAGTCAGCACCCCCAGGACCAGCACCCCCAGAGTCCGCACCCCCAGTGTCACCACCCCCTGCAGCACTGGAGTCCACATCGACAGGCTGCGGAGGCGGCGAAGACGGCCGAGGCGGAAAACCAGGAGAGGTCTCCAAGCGCGGGGAGCGGCGAGTGGCCGCTGTGTCGCCAGCAGCGGGGTCACCCCCCTCAGCTGGGCCGGAGGTGTCAGAGGAGACCTCCAACGGCTCAACCAAGGGGGGTGGGTCGACCTGAGACACACCTGAGGGAGCAGGACCCTGTGGGGGGAGGGAGTCTACCGGGGGGGGGGGGGGCCTGGACCCAGGATGAGGGACGGCGGGGGGACAGGAGAAGACGTGTGGGGATGGAGACGGTAGAAGCAAACCGACTCGTCAAAGGTGACGTCCTGGGAGGACAGGACGCGGCGCGAGGTAGGGTGGTAAAACTGCTAGGGCGGGGCGTTGGTGGGAAAGCCAAGGAAGACGCAGCGGAGAGTGCGAGGAGAGAGCTTGTCCGCGGTAGGATCGCGGACAAGGGCAAGCAAGCCCCAGACCCAAAACGCCGACGCATCGCCAACCTCCTCCGTCCAACGCAGTGTAGGCGAGGTCTCTGGCACAGAGACACGGGGCCAGAGGTTGAGCTGATGCGCGGCGTATCGGACCCAAACGGCCACAGAAAATGGGGAGCAGCCGCATGGATCATGGAGGTGCGAGCAACCTCCATGATCAAGTCAATGGGACGCTAAGCAATCCCATTATGCTGTGGAGAGTCCGGAAGCGTGAACGACTGGGCGATGCCCTCCTCACGACAAAAGTCCTCAAGGAGGCGGGAGGAAAACTCACCGCCTCTGTCAGAGCGCAGTCGCAGGACCTGAAGGTGCTGCTGAAACCGTGCGCTCGGCTGGCGACGAACAGAGCAGATTCAGAGGATCAAAACACCGCGGACATCCGCCTTGCTCTGCAAGCGGAAGACCGTGGTGTAGCACGTGTAGTCGTCAACAACCAGCAAAAAGTAGCGCTCGTGGTCCTCTCCACGGACGCGGGTGGGGCCCCACACGTCCATGTGGAGAGTCTGCAGAGGATCAGTGGTCGGAGGAAACGAGGAGGAGTGAGGAGCGGCGCACTGCCGCCCCTCGACGCAGGGGAGGCATGGCGGTGCAAGCAAGCGACCTGGGGATGCCAGAGACAGGGAGACGAGAGGCATGCCACGCAGGCGCGGCAGGGAGGTGTGACCAAGACGGTGGTGCCAGAGGAGAGACAGGTGCGTGAGAAGGTGACACGAACAAGACGCAGCTAACTGACCCGACGCAGCCACCTGACCTGATGCAGCCACCTGTGCAGACTCAGTGGTCAGTGTGTACAGGCCAGACCCAGGTCTCCGTGTGAACTTGGCGAGGTGCTCGCTAGTGCGTGAGTCCGTGCAGATCGCCACACGTTCACCCCCAGGAGTATTGGTGGTGACCAACTGGTCCTGGAGGACAGCGTTACTCACCAAGTTCGTAGTGAACGAGGGGAGGTGGAGACCTGCAAGCGAGCCGGAAGGGGCTGCTGGACACGGGAGAACTGTGGAGCCGCGGGGGTCAGCCAGAGCGACATGGTCAGGTGCTGTGAGCGGTGTGACTGTGGTGCAATCGCGAAAGAATCAGCGAGACGCGCCTGAGTCAAGTGTGAAGGTGTGCAAGGCTTCAGCAGGAGCAGCACCTGTGGCAGCAGACTCACAAGCACCAAGAGCAGCAGCCTCTACACCACTAGCGCGAGGCACAACTGAGTAACAGTCACCCTCAGCACTAGTAAAACCAGCATACATAGCATATAGGCCAGCATTGATCTTGTCAAAGTCAAGAGCAAACACATCCACCCCCTTCGCTAGCAATCCTAACCAGTTGGGGATCTCAAGCTCATCACCGTACTCGGTGCGCCAGGCATCCTCGAGACGTAAGAAGCAGCGATACTCAGTGTGCCTAATCTTTCCGCAGGGGTCACCAGCCCGGGGACCCGTGCGTCTGACGTACGGGCAACGACCACTACCCCTAGAGGAGCCACGCTGGACAACCCACCCACGAAGCTGCTGCTGGCGTGGCTGCTGCTGCTGTCCACCCCCAGAGCCTCCACCGCCACGAGCTGCACCCCCAGTCGCCGCCCCAGAGCCTCCACTCCTACCAGCTCCACCGCGACCGCCACCCGAGCCCCCTCCGCCCACCCCACCGCCTCCACCACCCCCGCCACCTCCACCGCCGCCACCACCGCCTCCACCCCCACCACCACCACCGCCACCACCCCCGCCACCGCCCCCGCCAGCGCCACCCCCACCACCCTTTCCCCCCTTGCCCTTGCTGCTGCGGCGCCTCCCACTAGGAGCAAACGCAGCACAGACCTCCTCAGCACGAAGGAAGTCAACAGCGGCAGCAGAGGCAACAGAGGGCGCGAGAAGGGAGGGAGAACACGCCTCAAAGAAGGGGGAGCGGGGAGTGCCACGAGAGGCAGCTACACCAACGGCACTGGTCTCAGCCTCGAGGAGATGCTTCTCTAGCGAGGCAAGCGTGAGCTCAGTGGGGTCAAGGGCGATGAAGTGATCCCGAACGGCACGGAGGGAGTCAGGGAGGCGAGTGACGAGGAAGTAAAGAGTGATGTACATCGGGGGCGGGTTCGCAGTCAGAAAGGCCGGCTTTAGAGCGACGCAATAGCGAGTGTCACTAGAGCAAAGGTGGGTCATGAGATCAGTGACGGTGTGGAAGTCCGACAGCTCAGGAAAGAGATACGGCGGCATGAGACGGCCTAGGGCAGCAGTAGAGGGGGAGGAGTAGCGAGTGACTACGGCGTCATAGAGCTCCTTGGCCGTCTTAAGCTGGCCAACATGGGCCCTCTCATCTAGCGGGAGGGCATTGCGGACAGCAAGGCGGGCGGCAGCATCGCGCGTGAGCCACTGCGAACGAACTACACGGTGAGCTGACTCATCTGGGGCGGGAAAAGAACCGGACGTATGCTCTAACTGTGAGAAGTCGTCCCTAGCTATGATCTGCAGGTACAGCTGGAGATCCTCGAGCCAGCAGTCAAACTTAATCGGGCGACCCTCTGCGTCAAAGGTAAGGATAGTAATGGTAGCCATAGTAGGCAGTAGCAGCAGTAGCAGTAGGAGCAGCAGCAGCAGCAGCAGCAGCAGCAGCAGCAGCAGCAGCAGCAGTAGCAGCAGCAGTAACAGGTGCGGCAGCAAAGGCAGCTCGGCTGAGCAGCTCGGCAGGGCGGCGCAGCTGGGCGGCTCGGCAGGGCGGCGCGGCTCGGCAGGGCGGCGCGGCTTGGGCAGGGCGGCGCGACTCGGAAGGGCGGCGCGGCTCGGGCAGGGCAGGGCGGCTCGGCGCTGGCGGCAGCAGCAGCTTAGCAGCAGCTGCAGTGCGGGCAGGGCGCGCGCAGGTGGCGCAGGGCAGTGCGCGAGCTGTGCGGGCAGAGCGCGGGCGGGGCACGGGCAGCAGGGGCAGCGCGCTTGCAGCGCGTGGGCGGCGCAAGCAGCGTGCGGGCAGCGCGCAGGCAGTTCGCGGGCAGTGCAAGCAGCGCGCGGGCAGCACATGCAGCGCGCAGGCGGTGCAGGCAGCGCAGGCACCGTGCGGGCAGTGCGCGCGCAGGGCTCAGGCAGCGTGCGTGCGAGTGGCGCGAGCAGGCTGCGTGCCAGGCAGCGTGCGGGTCGCGCGCTGGGCAGCAAGCGGGTCGCGCGCAGGGCAGAGCAGAGCGCGCGGGGTAGCGCGGGCAGGGCAGCGTGCGGGACGCTGGTAGGGCAGTAACTATCAAAGTTCGGGCAGGGCAGGAAGGAACCGGGCAGAACGAAACTAATGGTGGGCCCTAACGGAGCGGTCCTACGCATGGACCTGCTCTGAATACCATGTCAGAAACATGAGGCAAGAAATGACTTCACTAGCATGAATCAGAAGTACAAGTAGGCACCCCTACAAGGGTACTCTCTATGTAAGCTACCCCACTACAGCCTACAGACATACAAGTGTAATGTGACATCTTATGCCTTCACTCACAGTTGTATTCTTCGACCTAGATAGAGCAATTCTTGTGGCCTTGCCCAATTGCAAACATTAGGACCTTATTATACCGTATAAAGTGGAAGTGTTTGTACCAGTATCGCGCAGTCTCACAAAGGGGCTTGCCGGTCCTTCTACGGCCAGCATTAGGCAATCCAGATCGCGGAAATGACGGTGTCCAGTATTGCAAAGCACCAGCTGAAAAAAAGGCTCCTGTCCGCACTGTCAACGATTCAGACTCAGAAAGCTGCGCTTCGCAAGCTCAGATCCTCACGCCTCCCCAACTCAAAGCAGTTGGCGGTCAGATCGTCTGTCGTTGTACTGCAGAGTTATTAGTTTTGGCTCGAATCTCTATAAGTCGTACCAGACGCGATGGCGGAACCGAGCCAGGATGGCACTCTGCTCGGCATGCTCTCCAGAGGTTTCCAGAAGTGGGTGTCGTTGCCTTCGTTAGTGGCCGTTTCTGTCGACTGGCATGATAAGCGTGTTTGCGTGCGACAGGTTGCTTGGGACTGAGAACTTGGAAATCGTAAATCCGGAAGGAGGGAAGGAAGATGTTTTGGATGAAGCTGCCAAAGGAAGGTTTAGCAACCAGGTGGGTTTCATGACCAGTACTGCCAGCCTTTGGAGAAAGATTATTCACTGCTGACGCTGCTGCTAACTGGTGCAGGAAAAAGAAGGTTATTTTAAACAAGCTCAGAAGTACATTGGCGCTGACGTCACTTCACTTGTCACGCTTCCTGTCATTATTTTTGAGCCCATGACAATGCTTCAAAAGATGTGCGAGGTGAGCCTCTGTCGAAGCTTCATTGCACGAGCTGCCGTCGCTGTGGTTTGACCTGCGCTCTTGTATTTCAGCTCATGGAGTACACTGATCTACTCAACAAAGCGGACAGCACAGACGACCCCAACATGAGGATGGTCTACACAGGTATGTTCTTCGTTGGTCAGATCTCATCTCTTCGTTGGTTCCATTTTGTGTGTTCTGATATCCAGCGCTTTCGCAGCTGCGTGGGCGGTATCTCCGTATGTGGCATTCTCAAGGACGTGGAAGCCATTCAACCCCATCCTCGGCGAGACATTTGAATTCTCAAACCACAATGGCATCACTTTTGTAAACGAGCAGGTAGTTTTTTACACCTTCAAGGGTAGGCGTGTCGAGTAAACTGCTTCTCATTTCCCGTAGTTCCATGCAGGTGAGCCATCATCCGCCTATTTGTGCTGGGCATGGCGAGAATGAGCACTTCGTCTACGACTGCACCTCAAAGGTCAAGACAAAGTTTCTTGGGAATTCAGTGGAAGTTTATCCCCTAGGAAGGTACGCATTCCATGGAAAGTCATCGACGCCCACTCACCAAGTAGCTACTTCAAAGTCCTCACTTGCTTGATTGCGCTGCCTGCAGGACGAGGGTGAAATTAAAGAGGTCGGGTCATGTGTTTGACTTGGTTCCTCCACCTACTAAGGTTCAGAATATCATCTTTGGCCGTACGTGGGTGGATTCGCCTGGTGATATGGTGCTTACAAACACTAACACGGGAGAAAAGGTCGTTCTTTACTTTCAGCCGTGCGGCTGGTTTGGGTAAGTATTTCACATACTCCAAGGCAGAAGTCACGCTGTGTGCTTTGGCTGGTTCTGCGATACCTAAATTCGATATTGTGTTGCACCTTGTAGCACGCATCAGTGTTTCAGGATCTGAGGCTTTCTTGTCATTTAAAATGATATCCAGAAACTTTCGTTTCTCTTAATCGCTTTTCTAATCCTTGCTCGTTGCTGTTTAACTTCCATTGCAATGCATAGGGCTGGGCGCTACGAAGTGGATGGGTATGTCTACGATTCTTCCGAAGAACCTAAGATACTCATCACTGGCAAGTGGAACGAGTCACTGAGCTACCAACCATGCGATCATGAAGGAGAACCATTGGAAGGATCCAAACTGACTGAGGTATGTTCTTCGGGCTGTGTGCATGTTGAAGATGCGTTTGTGAGTGAGCTTACTCTTTTGTACTTATCTGGGTTACTGCAGGTTTGGCGACTTACCGACTTGCCTGAGGACGATAAGTTTCAGTTTACTCACTTTGCGAGAAAGCTTAACAGTTTTGAAACTGCACCTCCAACCCTGCTGCCATCTGATTCCCGCCTGCGCCCTGATCGCAAAGCGTTGGAAGAGGGGGACCTTAACCAGTCTGCATCAGAAAAGTACAGGTTAGTTTCTGGCGACTTTCTGGTGCCATCAGCATTCTTGCATCGATCATGTCCAAATTCTTAGCGAGCGCTGTTTAAATGAACCCGCAGGCTGGAAGAGCACCAACGTGCAGAGAAACGTGAGAGAGAACAGCGGAAGGATGCTTTCGTCCCCAAATGGTTTCGTTCTTCTGGGGAGACAGCTATCACACCATGGGGAGATCTTGAAGTTTACGAGTTCACTGGACTGTATGATGAGAGGAAGTCGGCTACTTCCGAAACTCTTGTTGAAGGTGTTCCCAAGCAGGAGTTTAGTCCATGGCAGTATCCAGAGCTGAAGGTTGAGGTACAAGATTCTCCTGTGCCACCAGGAGTTGTTGCTCTCTAGGATACGTTACTATACTTGATGTGAGGACTTGTTATGGGTCCATATGAATGTCAAATCCCTCTTGCCTTGCTGATTATCTCTGTCCAGATTCTTAGAAATAGAATGCAACGGAATGGTTTGGGACTAGCAAGATGGATACAAGTACTCAACCCTAAAAAGGGTTGTACTCCCTAGAGTGCTACTCACTGTAGCCTAAGAACCTATAATAACATTTGACACACCCCCATAGGCTAAGTGAGGGGCATCAAATCAAAGCAAGCAGGGTGAACAAACAGTCACAAGACCAGTCAATACAAGAAGCAAAGCAAGGCAAGCTCAGGGTGGATCTAAAGGACACCACACAAATTCCGAGCACAAGCAAGCGGCCACAAGGCCAGTTCAAGAGTTCATTATGATATATATAGCAAAGCACAACAAGCAGAGCAAACAGCAAGTCTACAGCAACCGAGGGCCTACCTCAACAAGCCCCAACTGCACACAGAACCTGTGGTGGTCACCAGGCGCCAAGGCCTTGGTGAAGACGTCGGCAGTGTTGGCCTCTGATGCCACAAAGTCCAAACGTGCCTTGCCGCGTCGCTGCAACTCTCGCAGGAGGAAGTACCTCACGTCAATAAGCTTCACTCTGCTCTTCAGTCGAGGCTCTCGACATAGGAGGATCATGGCCTTGTTGTCAGCGTACAAGGTCGGTGCAGAGCGAGGCCGCTCACCAAGGTCGGCGAGCAAGAAGGTCAACCAGCGAAGCTCCTGTGCCGCCATGGCACCAGCGTAGATCTCTGCCTCTTCACTGGACGTAACCACAGACGACGACCGTGTAGACCTCCACGACACAGCACCAGCACCCAGACTGAAGCAGTAACCCTGAGTCGAGCGCTGAGTCTCCACGTCGTCAGCGTAGGAAGAGTCGCAGTGACCGATCAACACAATTGGCTGTGTCCCTCCAAGCACAAGCCCCATGCCTGATGTAGTCGCCAGGTACTTCGCCACCCTCACAGCAGCTGTCCAGTGAACTGGACGGTGTCTCCCAGTCGCAACAAAGCGAGAGAGGACGCTGAGGGGAAAGGCGAGGTCCGGCCGAGTACAAGTCATCAGGTACATGAGGCAACCCACAAGCTCTGCGTAGGGGCCACTAGACTCAAAGGGCTCGTCGGGAAAAGGGCCAGTGAGTCGGTGGTCAACGGCAAGAGGAGTGGGCTGTGTGGTGGAGAACTGAAACCCGAACCGCCGAAGGACCTGCTGCACCATGTGTGACTGAGTCAGTGTGATGGTGCGAGCGGCTCTGTCCCTGGTGATCTGCAGGCCAAGGTAGCGCTGCATTTCACCGAGGTCAGTGCACTTGTGTCTCTTCTGCAGTTCGGATTTCACCTCAGTCAGAGCTGCCCTGTCTGCTGTAGCAAAGACCAAGTCGTCGACGTACACTAGTATAAAGAAAGGAGTGGAGCCAGTGCGAACAAACAGCGACGGGTCGGCAGAGGAAGGACGAAGCTCAAGGTCACGAAGCGTGGAGCGAAGAGTGTCGTGCCACTCACGGGGCGACTGGTGGAGACCGTAGACTGGCCGCCTCAGGCTCCACTGGGTCCTAGGTGGGAAGGTGTCAGTGAAGCCAGGAGGACGGCGCAGCCAGAACTCCTCGTGTAGGCGGCCCTGGAGAAACGCAGTGGAGAAGTCAAGGGAGTGCAGCTCGTAGTCACGCTGTGCTGCTACGTGCAGTAACACCCGAAGAGTAGTCATCTTCGGGGTCTTGGCGAAGGTCTGGAAGATGTCAACTCCCTCACGCTGACTGGAACCCCTAGCCACGTAGCGCGCCTTGAACACAGGCGGTGAACCAGGCGGTCGCTTCACCTTGAAGAGCCACATGTCATCGACAACGTTCGCCCTGGGAGGGGGAACTGCGTCAACGTACGTGCCTGTGGATCTCCAAGACGCCAACTTTGCATCCATAGCCGCTTTCCACTGAGAGGCCCACTTCCCTGACACTGCCTCACGGTACGTGCGAGGTGTCGGTATGTCAAGGGCGTCGGGGTCTCCCTCAAGGGAAAGCAGCATGGCACAGAGAGAGGGGGAAGTGGCTGCTAAGAACTCCAGCTCAAACTGCCTGTCCTATAGGACGTCACAGCCAAGGGCAGACTCACCCCCGACGGACAGAGGACGGGGAGGTGGAGCAGCCACCACATGCGTGGCGTAGTCAAGACGGCGGGTGGAAGCAGAGTCAGCGACAGCGGCAGTAAGAGCCGAGACAGACGACGGAGAGGCACGAGGGTCGGTGACAAGAGAGGCGAGAACACGAGAGACAACAGGGCGAGCAGCACGGTAGTAGTCAGTGATAGGGTGAGAGGAAACACTGAGAGACGACTCAGGAGGTGAGGGGAGACCAGACACAGGCGGAGAACGACGAGGAGGAGAACGAAACAAGACAGTGCGCAGGTCGGCAAGAGGAGACGAGGGCCGAGCACGTGGAGGACAACGGCTGGTCCAGTCGTGAGGGACAACAGGAGGAGACAACCGTGACTGAGGAGGAGAGAAAACAGCCGGAGTCGAGTCCGGAGGAGGAAACGTAGGACCGTACGCAATAGGTGACTGGGAGTGGACAGGAGGAGAGGAAGGAAGACCAAGGGCCCGAAGGCCACTCACTGGAGGGAACAGCTGCTGCAAAAGTGGCGGCTGCAGCGTCTGCTGCTGCTGCTGCTGCTGGTGGTCCAACTGCTGCAGCTCCTGCCTCTCATGCTCCACCCGCTCCTGCTCCTCGCGCTCAAGCCGGCGAAGAGCCTGGAAACGTGTGTCGTAGCGGTGAGGAGGCGTAGTAGGCGTGCCTCCAACTCCTGTCTCCTCAGTACCAGCTCCTACAGTGCCAGCACCTCCTTCTCCAGCACCCCCAGAACTAGCGCCAGCAGCGCGAGCACCTCCAGCTCCAGCACCCCCAGAACTAGCACCAGCTGCGCCAGCACCTCCTGCTCCAGCACCCCCAGAACTAGCGCCACCTGCGCCAGCACCTCCAGCTCCAGCATCCCCAGAACTAGCACCTCCAGTGCCAGAACCTCCAGCTCCAGCACCCCCAGAGCTAGCACCACCTGCGCCAGCACCTCCAGCTCCAGCACCCCTCGAACGAGCAACCCCAGACCGAGTACCGCCAGTGGCTGCACCTCCAGCTCCAACACCAACCGAGTCCACAGTAACCTGTCGCGGAAGTGCCGAAGGCTGCTGAGGGGACTGCGAGGAGGACTGCGGGGAGGGAGACGCTACCTGACGCGCGACCGAGGGTAGAGGGGTAGCGTGAGACACACCTGACGGGGCAGGACCAGGGGGCGGTGGGGGGACCGAAGGAGCGGGAGCAGGGGGAAGAGAGGGTGCGAGGAAGAGGGGGGGAGGGGGAACCGGGAGACCTCGACAGAGGTACCGGGTGTAGTAGGACACGGACTCGTCAAACCGGACGTCACTAGAGTCGAGAATCTGGTGGAGGGGCGGGTGGTAAAAGGAGTTGTCGGGAGAGCCCACCGGGAAACCAAGGAAGACACAGGGGATGGCGCGAGCCGAGAGCTTGTCCGCAGAGGTGTCGCGGACAAGCGCAAGGCAGCCCCAGACATGAAAGGCCGACCCAACACCAGGGGACCCAGTCCAAAGGCTGGTCGGTGAAACCTCTGGCCGCGAGAGACGTGGCTGGAGGTTCAGCTGGTGCGCGGCATAGCGCAGCGCGTAGGGCCGCAGAAAATGGGGCGCACAGGCATGGATCATGGACGTGCGGGCGATGTCCATGACCAAGCCATTGCGGCGCTCAGCAACCCCATTCTGATGTGGGGACTCCGGCAGCGTCCAGGACTGTCTGATGCCCTGCTCGCCGCAGAACCCGGCAAGGACGCCGGAGCGAAACTCACCCCCACGGTCGGAGTGGAGACAACAGACACGACTACCACGAGTGCCCTCAGTGGCCAGAAGCCACCGGATCAGCGTAGAAGTCACCTTGGACTTCTTCGCGAGAGGAAACACCGTGGTGTACCTGGAGTAGTCGTCAACGACCACTAAAAAGTAGCGCTCCCTCTTAGGTCCCCGCGTGGGGGCAGGGCCCGAGACGTCCAAGTGGAGAGTCTGGAAGGGAGAAGTGGCTGGACGAAGTGAGGAGGAGTGCGGAGTGGCGCGCAGGCGGCCGGCGACACAAGGAGTGCAAGGTGGAGCAAGCGAGGGAGGGAGCGACGGAAAGACGCGCGGGAGACCTGAGACAAGTCTGTGACTAGCCATGCTGCGGAGGCGGGGGATTGACGGGTGGCCAAGACGGTGGTGCCACAAGACGGTCGGGTGGGCGAGAGACCGACAGGAGCAAGACGCAGCAACCTGACCAGACGCAGCAACCTGACTAGGCACAGCAACTGGAGGGGACGCAGTAGCCTGACCGGACTCTGCTACCTGGGGGGGCGCAGTCACGTGACCGGACTCTGCTACCTGGGAGGACGTAGTGTGCAGAACAAAGAGACCTGAGTGGGGCTCCCTGGTGAACGTGGCAAGAAGTGCCCCGGTGGAAGCGCCAGTATAGATCGCCGTCCTCCCGTGCGCAGAAAAAGTGACTGAGATCCCACGGTCCTGAAGGTATCCAACACCCACCAAGTTCCGAGAGAACGAGGGGATGTAGAGACCAGTGAGGAAACCA